TACAAACAGAGATTGAAAAGTCTCTCATTAAAGGCCCAATTAATGGCCTAATTGAAAACTGACAAATTAAGGCTCAGGAAACAATAAATGCCGATTGGTATTTAGCTTAGATATTATAAATAATACAGTCTGCAGTTTGGCTTACATTCCCAAGTAGAATCCTATGAGACATATTCACACATGCCCCGGCCGCATCAGCATCAACACACTTGGGATGGAGTAGGAGTAACACTTTCCCTGGAAGCCTCATAAGTAGCTGGGCACTCACACGAACACATATAAACACACATACACACCGATACCGATGTGTCCATGTATCCAGCCATAAATAGCTCATTATCATTAAATTAGGAAAACAAGTTGTTTAACCCAATGCCTGTGGCAGTTTGGCTGGAATTTGCTCTATTAACACACATGCAAACACACACACTATACACACACACACACACACGGGGTGTGTGTCGGCAAGTACAATCATAAATAAACATTTGTTGCCATTATAATGAGATGAAAGTCAATGTCAATGCAATGTTCGCATTGCCGCACCTGTACAATGTACATGGTTGCAACATAATAATGAAGTACATTATGTACTTGAAACACCTGCTGGGCTAAATGCATTATAACCAGACCCATTGTCTGGTGAAAGTTTAATGAACCCGATAATCAGGCTAACTAATCCCTCAATTAGAGCGCACCGAAATGCACACGGCTACAGTTGCTGTTTGCTCATTACGTTGTATATACCAGAAACTTTGACCTTAGAGAAAAATTGAAAGTAACTGAAAGGCAGACCTGTTTATCTCAAGTAAATAAGTGAAACCTAATTGAAAACTAATTTCCTCACACGCCCAAGCACAGTCTGTATGTGTGTGTGTGTGTGGGAAATAAAACGCGAATTACATGCGAATGGCCACAATATGGGCAATAAAACATCGGAATCAGTTTGCTGGACGTCTTAAGGAACAAGAGCGGCCACATCATGGCTAATAAAAATTTATTGGCGCCAGGACAGGCTCATGACCAGAGCTTGGATATAAATAAAATGGGTCGTAAAAGGGACTTTATGCTGCAGTAAACACGTCATCAACATATCAACTGGGCACAGATAAGCAGTTACCAGTATCAACTTTGCCAAGTTGCTGGCAATTAGAGTCATAAACTGGGACTCTGGACGCGGAAGAGGCGTCAACGGGCACGTCGGTATATTAGCACTTGATGGAAATGGCTTTTCCCATAACAATCAGCAACGGCAGGTGTACTTATTCCGCTTTTCAGCGGTTTATCACGCTCGGAGGATACGGATCATAAGACTGACTGACCATTGGCCACCAACCAGCTTCCGAATGTTACACACTATGTTTTGATGGTCCCATAAAATCTGGTCCATGAAGTGATGGATTGATGGGGGAGCTTCCTTAAATTGATACTAAACATTCTGTTATAGAATGGTATAAATATATTAATTGGGATTGTTTAAAAACGTTTACTTTGGGATGAATTATTATATTAAAGTTCATGTTTAGATTAAAATTCTAACAGAAAGATATCTTTGCAAGGGTGCCCTAAAAGGCATTATCCTTGTTCTTAAGACATAAACGATGGCTAGCTAGTTAGAATTTTCTTAAAGAAGAACTCAAATACCTAAGTTTTATGCAAACCTTCTCCCATCTAGCAAATTTAAAACAACTAAAATTCCCATTTTAATGTTCAATTAATTCCTATTGATTTTATTTTCTTTTCCCTTAATATTCCAACATTTACAAAAGACCAAATGCCATTTCTAATTAAAACTAAATTAAATATTTTGGAATATAACAGACTGCAGAAAGCACTGCAAATATAAGCCTAGGAATTGGATAGAATTTTTGTCATGTGGTCACAACCACCGCTGCCCTTTCCCCAGGAACCTTTTTACTTTTTCTTTCTTATATTTTTCCTTTTTGTTTGCTATATGCCAAGACGAACTTCGAAGCGCAGAAAATGAAAAGGTGAAGGAACATTTTTTCCATCATCCTTAAATGTGTGTATCGTGCAGGACGTCGCGCAAATCACCCAAGTGAATTCACGCCATTTTTCAGCGTCCGTCGCTTTGTCCGGACGAAGGCCCAAACACACACACCCGCACACACACACACTCCAAGCACACACATTACATACTCCCTCAAGAGTATGAGTTCAGGTCCAGTCCTCCAAAAGTCCTATAACGGGCTACCCCACTTAACCGTCCGGCGACCCGGCGAGCCCGCCGATTCCTTTCCCCTCCTCCTGATGTTTCTACTGCTGCTCCTGCTGCTGATGCTGACACGTTCGCTGTCCGTCGCCGGGCGTTCGAATACAAAATAAATATCCAATATATGCCCATGTGGGTGTGTGTATCCTGTTTCTGGCATATATTATAAGTGGAATAGAAAAATAAATGCGCCGAGATAAAAGTTTTTTCCCTCCCAACCCCTGCGTCCTGCCTGCGTGCCGTGTCTGTTCTACCCACCCACATTCACATCCACATCCAGAACCCATACCACCCACTCCGCTCAATTCACCGCGGCGCAGCCAGCAACATGTCAGCGGCGAACAATAACAACAAGCCGAAGAACGGAGCGCGACAAAAGGCGACGGCGATGGCGATGGCGATGGAGATGACGGAGGCGAGGGCCCACTTGCAAGTCGCCCAGGCTTTGCAAAACGGACGCGTCACGAAGCACGTTTGAAATATTGAAGGAAGGACATTTAGGAATAAAATGAAAGGATCGCACCCCACCACTCCGCCCCTAGCAAACGTGTGTCCTCGCGCACACGTGTAGAAAAATGTGTAAATTTTTTAAAATTTTTAATAAGTTTATTTAAGAAGTTAGGTTGATAGTTATCAGCAAATGATATTGAGCTTAGAATCAGATGATTAATTTATCTATATCTAAATAGATAGTCAAACTAACACTAAAAACTGATTAACAGTTTTAATTACCCTATGTAGAGTTCATAAATCCTCTTAGTATGTAAAAACTTACAATAAAAACCGGATTATCGACTTTAATTATAATTTCAAATCGAATATGAATATTTTTCCACGTGCACACACGCTCACACACGAGCAGAGTCGACAACCCGTGTGCAAAACCCTCGCGCTGACCCCCCCACCACCATCATCACATGTCCTGTTTGCTTCGGCAAGAACCCACTTACACTCGCGCACACAATCTAACACACATACACCACCCATGTGTGTGTGTGTGTGTGTATGTGTATACTTCGCGTAAATATTGGGAGTCCTTGACTACGCGATGTGAATGATGCTGATAAAATACAAATTCTTGGGCCGCGGCGTTGGCCGCTAGTGTATTTACACAACTGTACTTATGCCCAGCCGGTCACTGCCCAAGTCCGAGGCAACCACGGATGGGATGCTGAGAATGAGTATGAGAATGGGATGCAAGGATGCCAGGGGGAAGGCGGAGGGTATGGCGAAAGGACGAAAAGGAAGTCCCACCACCGCGGGGGACGACAACACGGCCCACGATCCACGCCTTGGCGCACAACATTGACTAGCCGCTATTACGGGGTCCCGCGACTCGGAAGTCCAAAAGGGACACTGCGCGAAAAAGTAGCATACTTTTTGGGGTCAACTTTGGACATTTTCTAAAGTGGCTTTCAAATGATTTTCATAAGGTAAGCTAAGTTTAAATACCACAACTTTCATGAGTTCTCAATACTGAATAATGGATTTATATAAATAATTAAGGAAATTATAGAAAATAATTCTGTAAAGTATATTTTATAAGCAGTTTTTAAGTCTAGACTTCGAAATTCATATATACTTACTAAGCATTGGCTTAAAAAATCTTAAGTTGTATTTCTATAATGATTCAAAGACGAAATTATTGTATTTTCCTTAAAAATTATATATCAGATATCTTATAGAAAGTACAACCCCGTTTCGTTCAGTGCACGAAATCTCCTTGTCCAGTTAGCGAACAAAAATCTGCGACGAAATTACGCCACATGTGTTCATGCCACGAGCAAATTTTCAGCGAAGCTAACGTACGGTAGGCGGACAAGGGACAGCACTTTCATCTTAGGACGATTCTTTCAAGGGACGAACCCAATTTCGCCGTCCCATCAGGACGAGGGGTGGCGATGGTCGATGGGTGGGATGAATGGTGGTGGGTGGGGGTCACGGACATCATATGAGTCCGTTGTGTGTACGAGTATGTGTGCGTGGGTCGTGAACGATTGTGTGAGCACTTTTCAGGGGTGTGGGTATCGCGCTAAATGGACAGCCGCCCAGCTCAGACATTCGCACACACTCACGTGATTGTATGTGTGTGTTTTCCAGGATATTTGTATGTGAATGTATGTTTAGATCAATGTATGTGTGTGTGTGTGTGTTGCCTCCAACCACGGCTCTTCGGCTGTACGGCTTGTGTGCCTTGGGCGCGGGTCCGTACACGGCAGCAGCATCAGCCACTTTGTCCAATTTTCAAACGGTCACTTTTTGAAACGAATTTTCCTCGCCGTCGCCACCACCCCAAGACCTCCCCCCCCTTCATCCTCACCAAATCATCCGAAAAGTACCCCAAGCTACCCAAAAACCACCCAACCACCGCCCTTAGCGACGCTGTTTGCGCGGCGGCAGATGATTCTAGGCCATGAAATCGACATTCGCATTTTAGAATCCACTTAGCCACCGGAGGAGGCAACTCTCAGGAATCCAGTATCTGCATCTTAAAGGCCAACCTTTGATTTTGATTCAATCTGAAAGTCAATTGTTCTCATTGAAGGCTTCTATGGATTTGATTTTATTCATTTGACAAACTGTTAATTGCTATCATCAACATGAAGAATGTTAGTTTAATTTTTGAATAAGAAAACCAATTTTGCATTTAATATTTGAAGTATTTTGACTTCATAAGTTTTATTGATGGGAGTTTAAATATATAAATTTTATAAAAATATACTTTATAGAATTTAAAAATATATTTAAGAAAGAAAGTCTTTACTAATTTATTGCTTACTTAATTAGATTTTATTGTTCTTTTCTTTTTTTCAACTTATTTCTATTTAGATGTCTCCGATGGCCTTATTCCCAGATCCTCCTCTTAAAATTGAGACGAGAGTCCTTGAGCAAGGAATTTTTGACTACTTCGTACTTCTTTTGTGACTCCTCATGGGTCAGTGTCAAACGCTGTTGCACCATCCGCTTATTGAGTTCCAGATCCTTCGATTGCTGCACCAGTCGCTTGTAATCATAGTTATCAAACTGATTTTCGAATTTGTTGAGAAAACGATTCAAAGACTTTGACTCAGAGGTTAGCTGGAAAGCAAGAAGTGTTAAGAAATGCTCTTTTTGTTTACTAACTTTTGACTTACATCTTCATAGTGACGCTGCAGATTATTAAGCAAGCTCACAAACCGCGATTTCAGATCGTTAAGACAGGCATTATAGGCATTCAGAGACTGTTCGGGAGTTAGTTCTTCCTGATCCTTATAGGGTACCAGATAGGGAGCCAGGAAATCAGCAGGCTTGCTGGCTATTTCCTTCTTTAGTTCTTCCTCCTCCTCAAACTGAAAGTTAGAAAGTTAAAGTTAAGTTACATAAAAATTAAAACCAACTTTACCTGTCTCATTCTTATAGCTCTGGCTGCCCCATTCCTTAGCGGATCAAAAATACTAAACTTAAGCTTAGGCTCAGCCTTTTCAGACCTACGCAAGTCGAAGATATTGTTGATATCCTCAAAGATTTTTTCGAAATTTTTCCTAAGTTGGTCTTCATACTGCAGTTGCTCACATAGCAACCTATATAGTTCGAGATTAGTGCGAGTTGGATCTAAAGGATTGGCCTGTAAAGGATTTAGGTATTAAAACCAATTTAATATATAACTCATCAACTTACCTTGTATATTTTAGTTAGTTTCTCATCATATATAAGTTCCTTGCCATAATCCGGTCTTGGTGGCTTTGTAAACTCCACGGTTGTAGCTGTGAGTGCCCCAAAAGTATAATGGAACTTCAAAACAATTTTGTTTTGTTGAAAGAGAAACATGCGGGTGGCAATATCATTTTTGCACACATCATTAGCACTGGCTTTCAGAAACTTCTCAGTGACTTTCTGCAAGAGTTGGTTAACTTTAAACTTGAATAAATATTTATTAAAGAAATATTTTTACTTTAAGTACGTTTCCACTTGGAGTAAATTCAAATTCCTTGTACCAACACCTATCACTGCGTCCTTTATAGTGGAGTATAAGAGAACCTGGTTCCACGACCATCAAATCCAAGGAATCTATTCTTGAAGCCGAGAAAAAGTACACTTTTCGCTGCTGTGAGGTGTCAGAGAAAAATTCGATGGCTATAACAAAATGAAAGCAATTAAAGGAAAGTCTTTTATTATTTCAAAAAAAGGGTTAAACCTCTACAGATATACCCACATTTCAAGCTGTCATTCCGCCCTTTGTTGAATATCTCCTCATATTGATCGGTGGCATATGTGTACTTCACATGCCGCATTAGATCCGCTCGATTCTCATAGAACTCGTATCGAACTTTGGGAATGGTGCACTCGCTATTATTGAAAATGGTTAACTGCATAACTTTGCCATCGCGCTGCGAATATGGAGAAAATCTTTCGTGGATAGCTCCTTTGTATTGGATTTTCTTCTCAGAGCTGGGAAAACGTTGCTCGAAGTCAGCCAGACCAATGTGCAGCCGTTCCACCCAAGAACCAATGCAATCCAAGTGCTTCTCCTCGCTAATATCCCGATCTTCCTCGGCGATATTTTCATCGGATGCCATTTTATAGGTGCGCATCTCAGGCGGCTCACCTGGCAGCATGTGCTCCCAGTCCTTTGTGTCCCGCAGATCCCAACGCAGCTCAGATACCCTCTGATGTTTCTGCTTGCAGACATAGTAGTTGTACTCATTCCAGATGCTATCTATAAGGATGTATTGCTTGCAACCAGTTTCGCATATGAATCCCGTTGAGGGCTCTATAAACATGGCCGTAGGAGGAGCCTCTACCACATCCCCGTTGACATCAGTGTAGGTAGTCTTGGGCTTGACACTCCAAGGAGCATTGTTGATGATCACCACCCAGGCATGACTGCGTCTATAATGATGTCGATCCACGGCCAGCAGCTCAAGGTCCTGTTTATCGGGAATTTCGCATGTTAATCTTTGCTAAAAATGTACAAGTGCATGTTTATCCTTACCTCCATTTGCTTCCGGATTATTTCGTCCTGAATCCGTTTTTCCTCCTCCGCTTTCAACCTGTGAACTTCGGCCATATCCTCCTCGAGATGACTATTCAAATCGGGTAATCCGCGCAGCTTATACTTTTGACCCGGCTTCTCAACCTTTGGCTTTATCTCCTCCGCCTCCACCTCGACGATCGGATAGGGGTAGGGAATGGCTAGCTGGTCGTTGAGTATAGTTTCCTCGCGAGCCACTCCGGATACTACTAGTGCCGGGTGGCCAGCTCCAATCAGCATGCTGACCAGCAAAGTGGCCATCTCGTAGGAATTTCCCTTGCGCCTTCGCAACAAAGTATCTGGAGAAATCAGGCGATTTGGCTGGGATTTGAAAGGATAACATTAAGGAAACGTATCAAAAGGGAAATCTTTTGGTTTAAGGTTAAACAGTATAAAGGTTAAAAATAAACATAATTTTCCTTGTGAATAAAATCTTTTTAAGAAAATAGCTATCATCCATAGATTAACGTCATTGGAAGCCAAAATGCAGTTTCAACTCCGGAGTTTATTAGTTAAATATAAATATATATATATCAAGGTGTATATACGATATATAAATCGGGGCTCAGGAAACAGCATGTCAGTTTCCAGGAAATTTGGCACAAACTATTGCGCAGCACGAGACAAAAAGGAAATCTTCGATTACCTTTAGCAACGCTTACCTGCCCAAGGAAAAAATACGAGTATGTACCCTTATATATGGCCCTGTAAAAACAGCAGGAGTCAAGATCGTATAGGTTATGTTTTACAACCTTGGAAAAGTTATATCCGCTTTGCATAGAAGTAGGGAAAACCTCGAATTCGGGAAATGAACCTGTTGAGCGGTGTGAATTTGGATTTTGCGTTAATAGGGATAGCCTAAAATTGGTCTACTTTGAATTTTCTACAAAATAGAATAGAATCTAGAATAGAATAGAATAATATTTTTTTAAGTTTAAAATATTTTATTTTTATATACTTAAGATAAAGCCAAAAGAGGCTAGACTTATTTTAAACTTTTTAAAGTCAAAATTCCTAAGGACCTTAGAAAATCAATCAGGAATCTCAGACTACTGAATAAGAGGATGTTTTCCAACCGGGGTATTAACCAGCCATATATACTGTTTACTCATGCCCGTTCATTTTTATGTGTTTTTTTCGATTTTCCGATGTCATTCAGAGGCTGGAACAATCAGCGGTCTGTTTTCATTGCATTTTTCGGCGATGCATTGAGCTGAGACCCACTCCCATTTAATCCGCCTTGGGTTATCTTTTGTCCCGATTGTTTACCTGCACATCTGCGAATGCCCCGTAGGTGGCTGCGTGACCCCGTGCCATTCATCTTCTTTCCTGTTCCGCGAAGACTTAGGAGACAATCCTGCCATTGCCAGGAATTCTGTGCATGTGCGTCCGAAACTCAATGTGTGTGAAGCGTAGCGAAACGGCCATTAACGCGGGAAACGCTGGCAATTATTGTGGGCCTGGGCCGGGGCATTCTTGCCTCTCTTCAGTCGTTGACACATCCGCACTTCGAGATTGCAATTGCAACAGAGGGAGCGATGCAGTTTGAAAATTCAAATGCATGCCGCTCTGATTTGGGTTGTTTTTTTTTTGGGGTAGTATTCGGGGGAATTGGCACAGACTTTAAGATCTAGATCTACCAGGCTAATGACTATATTGTTTGTGATTTTCATTTACCCTAGAATTTACCTATATGCAGTTTGGATTCAGAACAATTCACCCGCTAGAAACAAGCTATGAATGATTGCAATTTCAAAAGTCATACATAATAACTTATGATTCCCACAATTTGACTGCCAGGGTTGATAATACTTTTCGCGGGAAAGTTCTTTCGCAACATATAGAGCTAGAAACAGGAGGAAGAGCGAACGTGTGGAGGGTCCTGCACCTTTCCATCCTTCCACCCTGCGCAAATACGCCCCGTCGCTTCGAAGAAGGCCATTAAAATGCAAAATCGCCGTGTGAAGCCATAAGAATCACAATGAGGCACGGAGTCATCAGTTATCGGCGTGGCGAACGGCATGGCCTGTTCGCAGTGTTCGAGGTCAAACACTCTCGCTGGCATTGAATCGATTAGTCAGCAAACCAGTCAGTCAGTCAGTCATCTAGAGGCGTCTAATTGAATTCGATGCAAAAGGCATTACCTGGGCAGCCGATTGAGTTCTTCTCTTGGTCCTGGACCCTGGGATTCCCCCTTTCTATACCCTTAAACTGAGTTCTACTCAGTTGCCAGCCATTTGCCGCGTTTCAGCACCGCTGCTATCACTGCGGTCGCGCGTAATAAGAAACGCTTCAAGGTTATTCGAACGTGTTAAATTAGGATCGGGCCCGGCAGGGCAGTGGCAACAATGGAGGAGCGAACATGACGAAAACAAAGGGACGAATGCACAGCGAGAATGGAGCAACGGGCGCCCGGTTGCTCGAACAGGGGCCATAGCTCAAATTACAGGCAGTAAAGAGGATATATTGGAAGTGATAGATCAATAGATACCTCTTACTTTGAAGAGAAATATTCTGGCCTATGGGTTTTGTCTCTTTCCAAACTTATTGACTTATTGAAGGTGCCCTTAACATTGTTCCTTTAGTTAATCATTAAACTGTGTTATAGGGACCCCCAAATCATTCCCACTAGAATAGCCAACTTTTCCCTTCCCACCTTTTTTTCCTCAAAACCAATATACCCCACCACACTAAGACTACTAGGTACGAAACGACAACGTCCATCTGAAGGAAGAAGTATAGAAAAAAGAGCGGAAAAAAACTGCGCCAAAAGCGGCGAAAAATTGCGAAAAAGGGTGGCAAGTAACAGAGTCTGCCGAGACAGAATCACTTTCAGTTGCCACCCTGCTGAATGGCTGCCACCGCTCGCGGGTCACAACTCAAAACAATGGGCTCAAGACAGGGTTGTCAGGCAAAACGCAGACATGCGGCCTTCCCTCGTTGACACAATGCAGCAGCGCGCCTCCTCTTCATCCCACACCCATCGAGAAGTTCTCATATGTACCGCGTCTCAATATATATACACCGCCCCCACACCAGCCCATCGACAGCCCTTTCTTCCTTCGTTAGACTAACCTGGGGGCGAAGGACTCGCTGGGGAGGCACACATCGCTTATCGGGATGCATAATGAGCCGCTGCCATCTTTTCCACAAGAGCGCTGAAACAAAGCGGTGAAATTCAGCGCGATTCCTTGAGTTGAGCCGTCGAGTCCTTGCGGTCGCTCATAAGACAGGAGGACTCTCGGTTGTCCGGGTGTGTGCGCCTCCAGGAAATCCCAAGCCGGGCCTTTTGCGGGCCAGCAGCATGTGTAAGTTTTTAAATGAGCACACACGATGAAAATCAGCGACTTAACCCCTTTATGATAATGTACTGCACGGAAGTGTTATTGTCCTGGGGACAAAAGGACACACGGCGTCGCTAGTGTCGCCATAATACGCGCAATACACCCCCCAACCATTTTCCGGGCCCCATTTCACCGCCTAATGTTGCCCAACCCAACCTTAACCATCATATCACATCTCAACCCATCCCATCCCACAACCCGCTCACTATTTGCGCGTCTTTCTTAATATTGTGCCCAGGATGTATAGTACGTGGATGTCTATAGCTCCATTCACCATTCACCACGCTGGGATTTTATTATTGGCCCGGCTTCCGCGACCCAAGTCCCCGGGCACATAAAAGTCCCGGCCAATAGACGCTCTTAAAAACGGCCAAGATTAAGATATAAACACGCGAAATTAAGACATTTGAAGAGTCAGTCCCCTGAACATCAGTCGGTCAAAGGCACTGCTTTCTCGGCTGGAGTATAATGGCTTGGGCTGCGGGGGTATCACGTTTAAGTCTCATCATAGTTTTACTCATATCCCTGAAGGAATTAGACAAAGGATTTATTAATATGGGCCACACTATAGTAGCCTAGTTTTGCAAGTTGTTAGAGGTTAATAAGTAACCTTTGAAGGAGTCTTGATTTGTGATTGACTAGAAAGTTAAGAGTGATAATAATGAAGGTGGTATTTCCAAATAAGAAAGATATTTAAGATTTAAAGGTATTCCCATTTTATCTTCAACCAAACTCAAATCCCTTAAATAAACCCCACGCATTACATTTCCAAAGCCATTGTATTTAATATAATATGATTGACATTTCTGAAGCACTGGCCATTCCTGACAAGCATTATTTTTCCTAATCAATACCTCTTCACATATGGCCCGATGTGTATTAAATTTGAGCCGTTTGCCATTGGGAGGCATTCTTATTCAATACCGCGCTGTCTGAGCCAAGCGAGTACGAGTATGTATACGACGGCGACGACGATGATGATGGTTTTAAACTCCGCCGTTGTCTTTGGGATACAGACCCTATACAGCCGGTGGACAGAGGCCAGCCAAGTGGGAGTGTAGAATGATGGTGGGGGAGGTGGTGAATGTGGCAGAGTGGCACCCACCGACTGCCAATACGGCATCCTAACGACGGCGCACAACTTACAATCACAGATTCGATCCAAGTCACATGGCGTTGCCCACAGCGAGGATAAATGCGACGGACAGACGACGTCGCTAAGAACCCAAATGGTATGGGGTCGCGGGCATCGGGACTCGCAGCTCGCAACTCTCAGTTCGAGTGATGTGACGGGGGTCGCGAATCCAGACAGATGCGGACACTGATGCGAGGACTCGGACACAAAGTCGATGTGTGTTTGGTTTTGGTCTGCTTTTGAGCAAAGGAATACGCCACTCCATCGCGGACAAGGCGAGTAAGTGGAGCCGACGACGAGTCCTGCAGTCGACAATGGTCGACGGTAGAAGCTAGATGGTGCACAGTGAAAAATCAGTACCATCTTGTATGGGATAAAATGTTATAAAATTGAACTAAAATGTATGGCTGAATTATGTTTTTGATTGCAGTGAACTAAGGTATCAAGTTTTCAGGTTTCCTGTTATTAATTTATATCTCAAAACTTAAGTCCTGCACTTTCTGAAAGTCCTCATAACACAAGAACTTCTTTTCCCTTTACACCTCATTGAATATTGTATAAGCTTGCAGTGGTGCACGAGCAAGTGCAGTAAAAACATATGTTTACTATTTGATATTCAAATTATCCTGGTCAGAGGACAATAAGATGCCTCACTTTATTGTTCTCCGTGTAGATGGTCGACGCTCGATGGCCGCGGCAATGGCCGTGTCAGCGACAGCGAAATTGGCGTCTAGTTTATTGTAGCCACGAAGGCTGTTGGCCATTGCCGGAGCACCTTTGGCGGTGGAACGTGGTGGGTGGTATGGTGCAAGGTGGTCTAGAGCAAGGTGGTCTGTTGGACA